ATAGAATTAATGATTTTTTTTATATCTAAGTGAAGAAAAAAAAAACATCCATAACAAACCCTTATTTGAGCATGCAGCCTGGTGTACCAGAAAAGCAGGGCAGTGAGAGTGTGCGCCCTCCTGAACAATACTAGGCCACATGCCAACATGTCTGCATGGTGCTCAAACTGTAAAGGGTGCTGTGCAGAGTTAAATGTCGTTTAAAATAAAATGGCAAAAAAGCCTAGGCCTACCCACGATTCCTATATATGGGAAATATGACAGTTCTCACATGGGAGTTGAAGCAATGAGCACTATGTTCCTCCTTCTTCTGACCTGTTCATGCTGGAACTGACACTGCAGGATATCTTCAGACATTGCTGCCACCTGGAAAGGTAAATATTAGTTACAAAAAGATAAATAAAATAGTTTTTGTGAGATGTGTTTAATTGCATTGTTCTTACTTGCATGCATCAGTGGACTAGCTAAGGATCTAAATTACCCTTAAAAGCAGTTCCTTAGACAGAGAGGGACTATCTACTTGATGGGAAAATTGTCTTGGATAGACACCAAAGTTTGAGAGACAATGTTTGTCAGAATGAACCAGCTGCTTAGGCTGCTGAATGGAGATATGAGTATGGTCTGTGAAGCAACTTATGCAACAATCTACATTATTCCATTTTCAACATTTTGATCTATGTTAAATGCTTACGAATCCTATTTGTGCAAACATGTTTCTTATGGTGTCAGTTTGGTACGTTTTATGTTGCTGTGAATATCCACTGCAGCCTTCAAATAAAAGGAGGGATGGGGGTTAAAAAAAAGTGGATAGGCTAGCAGAGGAAAAAGAAAATAGAGGAGTAAAGAAAACGTAACTTATTGTTCTAAATATTTGACCTAAGTGCTCTGTAACTCAGTTCTCAGCCAACAATAACCTTCTCTAACCATGTATCACCAACTAAAGTGGCTTCATCAGGGTAAATACATGTCTTAGCATACAGATGGGTGTGTGTTGAAGGTTCTAAATGCTGTTAAGAACCATCCCACCCCCTTTTTAATAGTTTGGTCATACCCTCTAGCATATCCTCTTCCTCCTTTTCCAACTGCACCAGCACACATGTCAATGTGATAATACCATGATGCATCTGAGCAATGTTGCCCTCATTCTTCACTGTTATGTGACCACACATATGGGCAGCATGGGTTAAGCCTTAGCAGCAAAAACATCTCACCTCCTCAGTTTTCAGCTCATGAGGACCCCAAAGACCAGATCAATTATTCATTTGGGCATAGAGTATGCTACACCTATATTATTAATCTTATTCCACTCTTCATATTTTGGATTGCTGTGATTTTAAAAGCACAAACTGTGCAATGTCTACTAAGGATCCATATGGGTGTTTCCAAAGCCCAAACTAATACTGAGCTATTGACATCTTGATTTTAGAAAATAATTTTATATTTTCCACACAACAATCCTATAAAAAAAGTTGTACAAGCTGTGACTTAACCCTTGGGTGGTTCAGTGGATACACAGTTGACTAAAGGAAAGATATCAGAATGTGGTTGTAAATGGGGCTTATGGAACATAAACCAGTCACTAGTGGCATACCACACGGCTCTACACTAGATCCTGTTCTATTTGATCTATTTGTCATTGATCTAACTGAAGGTTTGTAGGCAAGGTATGTCTTTTTGTCGATGACACAACAGAATGCAATAGGGTTGAAACTCCATGAGGTGTGTGTAACATGAATCATAGTTTGGCATAGCTGTAAGTTTGGGCTACACACTGAAAACTGCAGTTCATACTTTCTAAATGCAAAGTAATGCCGTTATAGAAAAAGAACCCCCTGATGGAATTATACTATCAGTGGTAGAGTGTTGGCCAGAAGTACAAAGGGAAATATTTAGGGTGCTTTTTTTCTGATGATTGCAAAATGAATAACCATTTGTGGCCCGATAGTGAGGAAGGCAAATAGAATTCTGGGGTGCATCACTAGAGGGATCAACAGCAGAAGGAAGACAGATTCTCCTGTATAGATCTTTAGTAAGACCTCATTTAGAATATTGAGTCCATTTCTGAAGTCCTCACTTACAAAATGACATTGATAAGATATAAGAAATCTAGAGGTGGAAAAGGGTATAGTGTAAGGTCCGTGGAATAAATGTATTAGGAGAGACTACAGGAACTTAAAAGAGAACTATGAGGTAAGTGTTTTCCCCATAGTTCTCTTAAGGGTCATGGGAGGACTTATACTAGTGTCCTCCCAAGACCCAAAGCTCTGTATATTGAGAGCTACAGCTCGGGGGGGGAGACCTCCACACCCGGGGACGGATCCCGACATTACTGTCGAGATCGACCTATCTGCGTGAATGACAGCTGGCTCTGCCTATTAATAATGCAGTTAAAGTCCATCTCTGGGCAAAAATTCTTGATTTCTGCAAGATCCCCATGTATGATTAAATGTTTTTCCTAAATCCTTCACAGGCTTGATCGAAATGAATATATATACTTGTTGACATTTTTCTTTGCAATTGATGAAATTAACAAGGATCCCCATCTCCTTCCCAACATTACTCTGGGCTATCACTTGTTTGATACATGTGGGCATCATATGAAGACCATACATTCTGTTATACAGATACTCTCCGGTTATAAGAGATTCTCTCCAAGCTACTCCTGTATAGAAAGCACTGAAATTGCTGGTTTTGTGGGTAGTTCTGTGTTCCTACCGACACACGCTGCGGCTGAGATATTGAATATTTACCAGTACACACAGGTAGATTATCTCTTCTGAAAATGTCATGATCATGATTAATCTTGGAAGGTATGTGAGATGTATCCATGCTGGTGAGCACTAAGAAATAGTAGCTAATAGTTAAATATGGGCGCTCAATGTTAGGCAGCAGCTGTGAAAGCAATTAGAATAAAAATGAGGTAGTTAAAAATATTATGACACACGTATGTGACTTGGAGCTTCTCAGCAAAATCTTCCAGGACAAAACTACTTCTTCCTAAGTCCTGCTGTGGCAGTAACAAAGGACATGCACACATCAGGAGAAGTAGAAAGAAGGACCAAATAAAGCGAATCTGTTTCTAGTGAAGGGGCCCTCTGGATTCGTTAATATTAAAGAGTGTATCTTAGAGTGCTTGAGTTTTGTCCTATTGGCTCCTTACATTCTTGTGCCCCACCCTTTTCAAATCTCTGACACCTTTTAATTTCTCTTCAAAGACTAGACGTAAGATATCACACTTAATAAAAAATAATTATATTAGTTTTTTATGTTGTGTTTCTCCAGATCAGCCATCGGTTTACTGACCTACCCCTGAGTGACAGTGGAAAGTTCCCAAACTTTTACCGAGCCACTCACAGCAGCTGGCTTTGGTTTGATATGGTTATTAAGGTCCTGAACATTTATAGATGGAATTGGATAGGACTCATCCTATTGAGTGACATCACCGCAGAAATGACAATTCATGAGCTGAGAAAAAAGATGGCCGGACATGGGATCTGTATAGAATTTGTCATTCACCTTACTGATAACTTTATCATGAACAGACAGAAAATGAGAGCTATTAAGAAGTCAACTACCGATGTCATTGTTGTATGCAGCCAATTATCACTTGAAAACATCATCTTTTGTGAGGAATGTGAGCGTTTCAGACAAAATATCACATTGATCCTCAGTGAGTCGTGGGATTTAGTTTTATATCGACAAACCATCCTAAGGGAAATATTTAACTGCAGCATAGTACCACTCTATCCACCTCGTGACATTCTTGGATTGGATGTATATATAAATAATGCACATCCATCCAAGCGCCCAGCCGATCGATTGTTGGAAGATATTTGGCTTACATTTTTTAATTGTACTTCTTCTAACCCATTGAAAAATTATTTATTTCCATTGATTGGTTTTATACGTAACGTCACCTGCACTGGGACAGAAATGCTTACACATGATTCTGAAAAAATTTATAATCCAAAATTCTATTTTATCTACACCGCGGTATACTCCCTGGCTCATGCTTTGAACAATATGAAACTAAGCAAAGATAAATCTGGAAAGTATGGATTAAGGCAAAAAGTATGTTTATTTCTTCTTATATCAATGTGTTCTTCTAGATATTGTTTCTATAATGCAAAGACAAAGTCTGACAGAAAGGAAACATTTCACTTTAAAGCAGTGCATTTCACAAGGGCAACTATAGTCTTTAATGTTTTTTTGTAAATATAGAGATCAGTTGCAGTATATGAAAATCATCACATCAATTTGTGATAAATGTAACCAGTTTAGTATAATCTGAAGGAATATGGCTCTTCAGCTACCCAGTAGCTACATTCTGAATTTCCCAGATCACCTTACTTGGCAATAAACGTTTAATGAACATTCCTTTCAGGGAGTAGTTATTGTCTCTGGATGTTCAGAATGATAGGTGCCTGTCATTTGGATTAAGGTTTTTGTAGTTTTTATTATACATAAGCATTGAGAAATAGGAAGACGTGTGAAGTGAGCACATAATACCTGCAAATTCTACAGTCTTTGGTCTTCTGCATGTCTTTTTAACAAACTGAGCACCTTCACATGGGGTTGTACTTGCTGGGTTCCTAAGTTTCAAGTTGGACAACTGGGGTTCAAGTGATATCTTAGTTACTTAGTTAGTTACTCACAACCTACTTTCGGGGGGCAACAGCAGTCCGCTTTCTCTAGATCCATAAACTAGTGCATGGCAGCCAATCTTTAAGGGGTCCTCATAGGAGGTTAATGCCCTTGCAGCATTTCAGAGTCCAAGGCTCTAAAGCTTAGGGTAAAACAAGGTGTTACAGCAAAATCTCATAAGGCAAAATCCCAGGAGGGAAGACCATGTGCCAGGAAGTGTCTTGGATATTTAACAACACTCTAACCATGTGTCACTAGCAGTCCTCCCCACCAAGCCTGCTTACTGGCCAGATAATAAACATCCTTAACACAGAATATCTATAGCACATCCTACTGGAGAACACTCGCACAACAAGTTGCTGAGATGATACACTCTATGCTTAGAGAACACTAGCCAGCATACAGCTAAATTGGCTAAAGTCATTAAAGATTAGAAAAATACAATACAAAAAGATCATTTGGAAAAATAATACATTCCTACTCTTGTTAATGTTTAATTGTTCTTTTGATTAATAGTTAGTGTTTATTTTAAGAACAGGCTCACTTATTATTATAAAATTAAAACACAGATTCAGATAATAATTTATCCCCTTATATTCATCACTTTGTCTGCAATCCATGCATCTCCTTCAGACAGACTAGTGTAAAATTCTCAGATAGCGGAGGAGGTACCGACCAACACTGATTCAGGCATTAGCTATGAGGGCTCATTTACATGGGTGTTTACATCAGTATGGCAAGCACACCCATGCAGAGACCTGCACCAGAAAGAGACAGGTGCTGCGTGTTATTGTGGGCAGCAGCCTGAACCTACCTATGGGAGGACATGGTTGCTTGCGATTATATGCAGACCCCAACCTGCACATATGTGTGGGTCTGGATTCCCACAATAGAAATCTATTGTTTTCAATGTGCCCTGCTCACACCACAATGGAGGGTGATGGGAGGGGCTTTGCACTACAAAAAAATGCACAATTTTGCTGCTAGCAAGCAGTAGATGTATGCAAAAAGTGTAAAAAAAAAAAGTTTAAAAGAGGTTTAAAAATACCTGTGTCTTCCCCGCTCGCTCCCGTCAAAAAACGGCCGGGAGGCAAGGAGAGACACAAGGTAAGTCTATGGACGCGTGCACCCGCATGAAGACACCGTGGGACAGGAAGTGCCAGCAAGGACAGAGAAGTCAGCGCTGGATCGGAGACCCGCAGCAGCGCTGGAGGGACAGATAAAAAGGACAGGAAAGAAGAAGAAGATTGGATTAAGAAACATCACTTAAGGTAAGTGCTAACATTGACATTGGGGGAGGGAAAATATATTTGACCTTAATGTCACTTTAAGCCTTGATGGCCAAACTATGTACACAGGATGGGGTGAAAATAAAGCTTGTTTTTTGACTGTCCCCCATAATTAGAACTGACATGTGACATTGAAATAGGTCGGCTCTATTGATCGGAAAGTAATAACTTAGATATAAAGTAGGGATGCACCGATACTGGTATTTTGGTACCGAGTACGAGTACCGATCATTTTTTTTCGGTACTCGCCGATACCAATTACCGAGTAATGGAAGTCCCATTCAGGAAGTCAGGTGGCGTGTAATGACTCGCCACCTGGCTTCCTGATTAGCCGGGAAGCCGGGCAGCGTGTAAAGACTCGCCACCCGGCTTCCTGATTAACAAAAAAGTCCCCTCTCACCTTAGTATGTGCAGCCTGTCATCCCCCGGGCCTCTCCAGTGAAAACGCGGCCTTCGTCCGGTACCCAGCCGGAGCCGTCTAGCCGGCCAATCAGGAAGCCGGGCGCCGTGTAATGACGCAACACACTGCTTTCTGATTGGCCGGGAGGCCGGCTCCATGCTCTCTTGTCATGAGATGACGAGGGAGCATAAAGCCAGCTTCCCGGCCAATCAGAAAGCAGAGCGTCGCATCATTAGACGGCGCCCGGCTTCCTGATTGGACGGCTCGGGCTGGGTACCGGACGAAGGCCGCATTCTCGATGGAGAGGCCCCGGGGGATGACAGGCTACACATACTAAGGTAAGGTAACCTTACCTCACAAGGCCAGCTTCCGGTCAATCGCGAAACCGGGCAGCGTGTAATGACGCGCTGCCCTGCTTCCTGATACCGGAAGTGGAACCTGATACCGGAACCTGATACCGTACTTGTGCTAGGCATCGGAGCATTTGGGCGAGTATGAGTACTTGCCCAAATACTCGGAATCAGCACCGATATCGATACTAGTATCGGTATCGGTGCATCCCTAATATAAAGTCTACAAATTGCCAAAATTGAATAACAAGATTTGTCCCTCACCCACCCCATAGACTTCAGTGGGGTTTGCCACAAAGTTCAGGTTCACCAAATTCTGAGTACAAAATGAAAATATTTCTGCAAATTGAACTCCATGTTTTTGCTTGGATATGATTTGGTAATGGAATTCAGCAGAGCTTCACCTCATTTGTTGAACCAAGGGGAAATACCCTTGCAAAATGAATAGCCCATTTGCCTTTAGTAAATCAATCTCATTGACTGATAAATCAGAAAGTGACATACAAATATACTAAAATATAAACACCAGTTGTGCAGCAGGATTCTGGTGTAGTCAGCATAAGTGGTGCAGGATAGTAAACCTTAATCATATATTAAATCACACCACAACCAGCAATAACCTAAACTTTTACAATGATCCAGAAACCAGGTTCAGCTTTTTTTTCAAAGTGACTTAAATGTTAAAAATGGAAAACAAATATGTTTTGCTGCCTATTTTGTGTTGAATCTTCTGATGGGGTTTAGTGGTGATCACTTAATAATTACCAAAACTGAAGTTATCATTGACTAGTTATTAAACCTGTCACTTAGTAACTAGAACAACCTGAGCTGGTAAAATTGAAAGCAATATAGTGTAATAAATGTATATTTCCTGAAAGCTGTACAGATACATCCAGACAGTTCACTACACAAGCCCCATTGGGGAGATGGTCTCCTTTGATGAGAAGGGAGATTTACCCCTTGTGCTTGGAATGGCAAACATGATCTATGGTGATGTATCCCCGGACAAGTTGAATGTTAACATACAAGCTTTTACATATAGTAAGACTTTACCAGAACAAACAAAAAAAGAAGATTTTATTCTACAGCCCCAATGGAAAAATAACAAAGTAAGTGTGTTCCAATGCTCCTCTTTAATGTATTTTGATTCTACATCCCAGAAATAACAACTAATAGTCTAGTAATAGAAAATAAAAGGCCACACAGCACACATTTTGAGAGTTTAAGGAAAATGCTTTAACCCATTTGCTGCCAAGCCCTGCTGGGTTGCTAGCTTTTGTAAAAGACCCCTCAAACCATATATCTTCTGAAAGCGCAGGCCCGGTAGAATAAAAAGATGGTGATACTAAATTTGTAGACCCTGCGATAATTGCGCAAAATGTTTCTCAAATTAATATTAAACGAATAAAAATACACAATTCAATTGATAAAACACATTAAAATCAGTATCCGTGAACAAAAAAATATTTTCTGACTAAATCTAAAAGATAAAACTGTATTGCGTTAATAAATAACAAATATTTGCAAATTTGTAATTGCGCCTTTTTGCGAAAGGTAAAGAAAATGAAGGTATGCAAAACTGTAAATAATCGACTTATGTAAAAAACTGTTTTTACACTGTGTAGGGGTTTGTGTTGTGATAAAATAATACAGGCGTATATTTATTGCAATCCTTGGCAGCGAAAGGGTTAAGGCATCTGCCAAACCAGTAATTCAAAGGATTTACATTTTTTGCACTGTGCCTTTGAAGCCACATGAAAAGGGCCCTCTTCTCAGTGCACCACATTTTTTAAAACGTATTTTGCATTTTTACATGTCCTTAGTGTCAGTGCCCAACTTCCCATGCCTTTTACAATTGCTTGCCTGTTAGTGCTAAAAATAGCCAATGGATTTCACTAGAATTTGTGGTAAAGTTTGGGTTGCCCAAATATTAAACCGGATTCCTCAAAATTCTCAGCAAATAGAACCTGGGCAGATTTGGTCATGACTACATGGCATGACAGGAATTATGTTCTATATTGAAAATGTGTCTGTGAAAATCTAATTAACCTGAAATACAGGCAAGCAATTTTTTTTCTTGAATATTCTTATGTAAGTTTTCACCCTACAAAAAATCTAAAAGGAATGTGTAAGCAATTCTCTATTTTTGATCATTATTTGTAACTACAAAACTATAAATAAAGCGCATGAACTGATGTCAGGTGCTATATACAGCACTGTTCTAAAGTAAATCAGCACTTTGGCTCATATTCATAATTCTATTACTGGAACACTTGAATTTTGTATTTATTTAAGGTTATTTTGTGCTGGAAAAATAACTTCTAAGTCACTAAATGAAAATGATGTGCATTATTTTTATCAATTAGAAATTACAGTGCTCATGTATTACTTCCTGTGTGCAAATGGTTCTACACAATTGTTTCCTTACATGTGTAAGAAAGTATATTACCAAAAAAGAGTTTGCCTCAATATAACCCCCTGTAGAAAATTACACATATATATCAAGAAAGGTTTGAAGAGTTTAATGAGATGCCAAAGTGGGAATTGAGGCAACACATATGAATTATATTTGACTATGTTAAATATGTGTAAGAAAATGAAGGTATAATTAAATCCTTTCTAACAATATTTTGCATTCAGATTCCCCAAGCTCGGTGCAGTAAACCGTGTCCTCTGGGATCCAGGAAAATTCCAGCTGGAGGAATCCATGCCTGTTGCTATCTCTGTGTGCCTTGTTCTGCTGGGGAAATCTCCAATGTAACAGGTAACAAATTCCAAATGGGAAAATGTAGTGTTGTTATGGATCACCTGCACTCCATATTGCTAAGAACCATTAAGTTATTAATTGTGGTGCTCACAGTGATGACACAGATGGTGTTGTGTGGCTTTAAAGTATTGACCAGAAAATCCCCAGCACACACAGGATTTAAAGAGTAAATATCTTGTTAGTTTTTATTAAACATGCATCATGCTAGCCAATGTTTCAGGGCTGTGCAGTGTCCCTTCATCAGGGCAACATAGTGAGGTAATCTGCACACTGTGAGTGTTAGTGATTTTGTGGTAGGTAACAAATACCAACTCATAAATACCCATTCACTAAAATCTTATGTAAGCTTTAACATGGTAATATAATTTCAAACCTTGTTCTTAGGAGGGATAGACCTTGGGTGATGTCATTGACTAAATATTGTCATGATCATATCAGTCAATTATATCACCCAGATTCCCCAGTGTTGAGTTTACATTGCAGTAGTGCTGGGGAGCTGTAGTTTGCAATGGGTTTTCGCAGTGTGGCAAAATCGTCATAGCAGCAGGCCACTGTGGTGGTGTGTCTACATTGTTGGCTGATACTGGGCCTTGTCACTATCCTGAAGCATGTTCAGAGCAAGGATGTGCATCCAACACAGGAACGCGACCATGTAGACAGGAAGTAACTAAAAAAGGCTGGAGCATCTCAGCAGCACTGAGACAGAAAATTATGAAAACATGGTAAAATTAGGGTTATTTGGTAAAGTAAAACTGGAAATTGTTTATGATAACTAGAGATGCACTGATACCGATACTAGTATCAGTGCTGATAATGAGTATTTGAGCGAGTACTTGTTCTCACCCAAATAATTGGGAACATTTGGGTGAGAACAATTACTCGCTCAAATACTCAAGAACTTCCAGTGTGTCATCATTAGTATTCAGGAATCCATGATCGCGTGGTATTCTGCAGAGGTGGTGTAGTCTATCCAGTAATACCAAGAGGCCGATAATCTGGAGGAGGTGCCCTTGACTAAACTGGTGAGGTCCTCCGTGAGTTTGATGTCGTTTATTTTGGAGAACCAAAGCTGGACCGAGGGCGGGGTCACCTGTTTCCAGAGTAGGGGTATACAAGCACGGGCAGCATTCAGTAAGTGGATTAGAACCGATCGGGAGTAACTCTTAGGCGAGAAGCGATTATGGTGGAGGAGGAAAAATGCTGGTTCATGTGGGACGGTGTGGTCTGTAAATTTTTGGACTATCGTTTGGACCTGGGACCAAAACGGAGTCACCAGTGGGTATGACCAGAAGATGTGGAGCATATCCGCATGGGAGGAGCCACAGCGCTGGCACTTCTCGCAACCTCTGGTGGAGTTTATGGGGGGTTCTGTACCACTGCGTAAGGATTTTGTATCCCAGCTCTTGGTATTTGTTGCAAATAGATGACCTCACAGGAATAGCGTAGCAACCGGTCCCCAATTCCCTTTCCCATTGGTTGATGAAGTATAACGGGAGTTCTAGGTCATTAGCTAGTGCTAACTGGTAGCATAGGGAGAGCGTTTTAGCTTTGTCTACACAAGTTTGCTCGAAGACCGAGAGGTTCCACGTGTATGTAGAGAGAGCTGGATGGGAGGGCAGATAGTGTGTCAGTTGTAGGTGTCTCCACATTCCCAGATTCCTCATATCGGGATCCACGGAGAGGTCACCCAGTGCCTTCCAGGACTGCCAGTTAAGAAAATGTAGCACCCTGAATTTGCCCCTGGCCCGGAGACGACGAAACAGTCCGTCTTCTAAGCCCAGGAGGAACTCAGCGTTACTTATGATCGGTTGCATGGGCGAGGGCGTTGTAGATATTTTTTTCCTATGGAACGCCCAGTGGGCTACCTGCCAGGTGGGTCCTATCGTGGGTGAGTTCTGGTATTCCTAGGTAAGGGCCCCTTACACCATGGTAGGGCTGGTAGATGGATGTCGGTCATGGACTTTTTTAGCTCAATCCATGGCTTGATGTTCCCATGACGGCAACAGTCAATCACTCGGGAGAGGTGAGATGCTACGTAGTAGATATGGAAGTCGGGTAGGGCTAGCCCATCCGCTGTCTTAGGGTGTCACAGAATCGATAGCCAGAGCCTGGGGATTCTGCCGGCCCAAATAAAATTAGACACCAGTGTCTGTAGGGATCGGAAGAACGCGGGTGGGATCAGTATTGGGAGGGCTTGGAAGGGGTATAGGAGACGTGGGAGGATGTTTTGTTTGACAATGTTACATTGTCCGGTCCAGGAGAACGTGGCGTGGGACCACCCTATGCAGAGCTGCAAGTAAGTTGGGTACGGTAGTGTCTGGGGCCGATAGGAAGAATAGTAGGTCGTCAGCGAATTCTGCTACCTTGTGCATAC